ATCATGCATGAAAACAGGGGCGGATCTAGAAACTTCAACCATTGGGGGCACTAATTGAGAAAAAGTGAAAAAATTGAACAATTAAATATAAACTAACTAAAAAAATAAATAACCCAATATTAGCAGAATACAAAATACTACGAGTATATTCTATTACAATTGCTCTTTATGAGTTTTTAATTTTTTTAAAACGCCTCATCCCTTGTAACCGTATCAACCACATGTTTTTTGACATAAAGAAATAAAACAATTTGACTACAGTGTTCCTCACAAAAAAGTATCTTTCAATAAAGGCTAAAGGGTCAAATAGACTCTCGAACTAACTTAAAAAGTGCAATTCACCCCTTATATAAGAGGTTCTGTTTAACTGCGTAGCTATCTCCAAAAATTCATTTGACTGCCTTCGTGATTGAATTTTTAGCTAAAATTTGGCATGAGTAAACTAGATTTAATGAAGAAGATGCTCAAAAAAATTTCATCAAAAATTTCCACCAGGAACCGCCCCAAATGATGACGGCCGGACAGAGCCTCCTATATAAAGGGGTAAATTGCACTTTTTAAGTTAGTTCGAGGGCCTATTTGACCCTTTAGCCTTCAATAAATTTAGTTTTAAATATTATTTTTATATATTTTGAATACTACCGTGAAAACTTTTTGTTGTTGAAATTAAACTAGTCATTTACTAAGAGAAATTAAATATTTTGAAGTTAAATCAACAATACATTTAAATTATTAATGCAACCACAAATCAATCATGATTGACACGATTTAAGGAACTACAATTTATGATTATAAAAGATTAAATTCTAATCTAACAACCATTTAAAACTAAATAAAAAGTGTATATTCTACAAAAAATAGCAACATATATCCTAAATAGAAAAACTCAAATTCACACCATGTTCTGCAGGCTTTGATAAATGACAATTATAGATCCTAAGATTACTCCAATTATACGGATATTATTGTAAAACTCCCGGTTCATATGTAAATGACAATTGGATTAGGAGTTACGGTGTAGTTTATAAAATTGACAAAAAAAAGAGTTAGTTTAGAGTCCAAAAGTGTATGTTTAAATTATAAAAGAAACAAAAAGTGGGTTGTCCAACTTGGTTGGGGTCCTCCACTATTTTGGTTGGGGGCACTTCTTACTTACGGTATGCATGTTTACATATGTAAACCTATGTTACAATAAAAATGGGAAGTCATTGGGGGCATGCGTCCGCCCCTGATGCAAATATCCTCCAACTTTATCTTTATTATTCTACCAGTAGTTTTTAGCCCAATCATAATCACTCCAATGAATACCAACATAACCACATGTAACACCGTCCCCAAATATATTTACCTTTATGTAAATTATGTATTGAACATGGCGTGTCTAGTAATGAATTTACGAGTTTGTAAATTTTTGTTATTTCTTTTGCGTGAAGAGTAAATTCCACGCGGGGCCCACACTCGGAGCGGGGGTAACCCGATAACACGAGACCACATGTTATATTCATCTTGGTCTAGATAATAGTTACATGGTGGTGGAAATTCATAATGGGTCATAAGAAAGGCATTGGGTTGACCGGTTTGTCAAACAGGGCCCAATTACCAGTACCGACAATTTCTTCAGATAACAGTCCGAAATGAATTTCGGAGACTTTAAAATTAAAGTTGGGGAATGTACATTCATTCTTAAGATCCATAATTTCTATGGACATGTAATATATTTTATTTGACCCGATAAAATAAAATATACTTAAAACAGTCCGAAAGATACAACTTTCGGGGCCGATTGTACAGTTCTGGACATATTGGGATGACCTCCCACACAAGTGGGGGCCACCCCACGAATTTGTGTGGGCTATGATAGGGGAGAGGACGGATGAATGGGATGGGAGGGTGTAGGCAATGTTGACTTGAAGAGAATGGCATCAAAAGGACATTGGAAGGGTCCATGCCATGCTATCATTGTGTAATAAGCCAAAAAGAGGGTGTTGCCTCTCACCTCCATCATTCATTCGACCCAAGGCATCCAAGAGGAGTAAAAGAGATCTGCAACTCCATTCTTTCACAGCTAATTTCGAGCTCAAGTCCAAGGCATCCAAAGAGGGAGTTTAAAGAAGGGGAAAAGGGAAGAAAAGGTGTGGGGATTAAGGTAATAACCTTATCACAACTTTTCCTTTATTTTTCTCCTACCATATGAGATATATATCATGTGAATAACCCCTAGGATGGTTCTACATGCCCAAAGTGTAGAACAATGGGTTGAAGAGTGGTTTTAAGTCCAAGAGCGGACTTAGAAGCCATAGAGACCGGTTCACCGGAAAATAACCTTTTAAGGGTTATTTGTATTGATTAAGGTTTTATGATGTTAAAACCTTGTTAGGCACTTGTAAAGGGTGATTTAAGAACTTTCACGAAGTTGAAAGAGTCGCCGGAGTTGTCACCGGAGTTCATCAAAGTTCGCCGGAGTTCCATCGGAGTTCAACCGGGAAGGGTAGAACTTCACAACGCTCATTCGAGGTGAGTGGACGGCTTAATGTCTTATAACTTTTGGGTTAAGTATGAGATTACCTAAATAAATGCTATAAGTATTCCTAATGATGTTTAAAGGAGTTTAAGCATGTGATTAGCCTAGGTAATTAGGCTTATGTGAATAAAACTTCATGATTATGCATGTGAAGAATATGAAAAATGTATAAAAACATTTGTGATGTTTTGGATGACCAAAATGGCATTTATTGGTTGTTTTAGACATGATATAGGTTGTATAAAAATTTCGGGTCAAACGGGTCACGTTTCGGGGGTCAACTCGGGGGTCAACGAGGCGTTGACCCAGAACTCCGAACATACCCGGCGCCGGGTATAGGGCCTACCCGGGGCCGGGTAAGCTACTGCCTCCACATTTTAATCTCACCGAAAACGCGAACCGAAGTCCGGTTCGAAGGAGGGGCTGACCCCGTACAACCTATGTGTGCATATTGTGCATGGAATTGCATGGAATATGATGATTTAATGTCAAGGTTGATATTTATTGATTTAATTCTAAGACTTGGTTTAGTCTTTAGTAATAATATGATATAGACCCTATCTAGTGTGATATGTGGTAAGTCATAGGTAGGGTGGAGTACCCAAGGATCGGGCGGTTATCCTCAAAACTCGATATATATGTATATATATAGGGTGGAGTACCCAAGGATCGGGCGGTTATCCTCAAAACTCGGTATATATGTATATATATAGGGTGGAGTACCCAAGGATCGGGCGGTTATCCTCAAAACTCGGTATATATGTATATATATAGGGTGGAGTACCCAAGGATCGGGCGGTTATCCTCAAAACTCGGTTATAGGGTGGAGTACCCAAGGATCGGGCGTGTATCCTCAAAACTCATAGATTACATTTAATGATCTAGGACCGGGCGGTGTCCTTATGATAATTTACTTGAACAAGGAGGAGTTCTATACACTCATAGGTATATGGGTGGGTTGGGATTTAAGTCAAGGACATTGGCTTCTATTATTTTCCCAAATAAACAATGACCTACGGGTCGGGTATTTCCAAGTGTATATATACTAATATGTATTTCAAAACTTGGGGGAAGGACTATACGTATATGTATCACCCTATGTTTGGGTCTTATACTTGAAACGTTAGTTATTCTACATTTAGCCTGCTACTCGCTCGGTACTTGTACTGACCCCTTCGGGGGGCCCCACCATTTCAGGTTGAAGCTCAAGTTGCTATTCTCACCTTGCTCGGTGAAGTGATCCAAAGGGAGACGTGGTTCGTGCTTCCTTTAATGTTTTAAACTACAAACTTGCTCATGGATATTTTTGTAATAAATACATTTGTTTTGGGCCTGCGTGCCTACGTTTTGGCCATGTGTGGCCCATGATTGAATATTGAATATTTCCGCTATTCGTTCAATCCTATGGTGTGATGTTGTTATGTATGTTTACTTACTGAGTATGGTATGGACTATGTTCATGGACGCCTTGTTTGACTAAGTCACGTTGACTCGCGGGTGACGTCATTTAGTCATACGACGGTTGTACACGCGCTCAGATGCGGTCTGGGGCGTGACACCACATGTAAAATTTGCTTAAATAAATCATTAATTAATTTCCTAAAACAAAAAATAAATATCATTCAAATTTACATATTTATTACACTATCAGTAAATAATATTTTAATTTCGAAATAAAATTAAAAAATAAAGTTTACTTATATAGTATCATGTGTGTGGGACTTTGTATGTATTTTCAAGCTTGTTAGGTAATACTTACATCAACTGTATTGACGTATTTTCAAGCTTGTTAGGTAATACTCACATCAACTGTATTGACAGATTCTTCTTAAATTTATAAAGGTCTGACTGAAGTGGCTAGATGGTGATTCTACTAATTTATGAAAAAAATATTTAAAATATTTTTTTTAATAAAATAAAGAAAAAATTATATGAAAAAACAACTAAAATGATTCTCTTCAGTAACTTCAGCCAATACAGCTACAAAAGAAACTCCAACCTTACATTTGATTATTATTACACAATTAATCGCGCGAAATCAAAAGTTGCATGTTTGGTAAAGAAGTTGGTTGATAAATGTAATAAGCCAAAAAATAGGATCACCAAATGGGCTTATCAGCCAATCTTTTCACAAAAAACGTAACTTTTTGATTTCACGCGCTGAATTGTGTAATAATAAGAAAAAGTAAAGTTGAAGTTGCTTTTATGATTGTATTGGCTCAAATGACTGTAATGATCATTTTTAATGTTTTTTCATTTTCTCTCTCTCTTTATTTTATTAATCAAATACTAGTATATTTTAAATTTAATTTTTCATACATCAATAGAATCAACCAATTTGATCACTTTAGCTTCAAATTTGAACAGAATCAACCCATTTAGTGAATTGGAACGTGGGTCAACATGTGGTAGGATTGCAGCCGAAATGGAGAAAAAGGGTTACATCTTACAAGGAGACCAAGACAAAACAAGATTGCTGCTCATAATGCGTGTGCTATAAATAGGAAATGTTAACTTCGTCTTGCAAACCGGAAATTCTCCAATCATCTCCCAATATGGGTTTAAGAAAAAAGAGATGGATTTCAAAATGAATCATTGTGCTAAAGAGGATGAATCAAAATGATTGTGATAAATAAATAAGTGTAATACGTAGTGGTAGCAGAGACGATAAACGAACGTGCATTTCAGAAAATAATAAAAGTCGTTTTCCAAGAAGCAATCATTCATAGTACTTTGTGTTTGGCGAACGCAGCTCTACAACTACCCACCACCTCCTTCCCATCATACTTTGGCCTCTTAATCCATTCTTTATCCTCATTGATTCAAACCCATATCCCCCAATCATGGTTGGATCCCATGGGCGTTGGCCTTCTCAATCCGCGGTAATTGCTCTTGATCCCCATACTCACACTCCCTGTTTATTCATTCATTCATTCCTTATAAATTTACATTATGCGCATGCCACTCGTATCAGGTTTCCAAGTGCATATCTGCACCATGTGCTTGTATCTTTCAGAGTTTAAATTTCATAAATGGGTGATTTTAGGGTCAGAGTTCAAAACGTTGGTAATTTTTTTGTTTTAGTTAATGATATAACTCACAGCCGTTTTATGATATTTTCCATTTTTAGCAATATCATTTACGCTATGAATTTTTTTTCTCCAACCCCAAGTCTCCAAGTAGTGATTTGATGAGGATGAGCAATGTAGTTGAGGTTCGAGTGATTTGATGTAAAACAGTGTGCTGATTCTGCATGACTGCATGTAAATATGCTTTTTAAACGCCAGAGTGCTATGAATTGTGATTAAGACATATCATTATGGATAGTGGAAGCGTATTATCATACCAACTTATGCATCCCATAATCTATACCTTATTTGCTTCACCAAAGTTTCACAAATGTGAAGATTTGTTTCTATTATCTCTCAAAACCTGATAAAAAGAGCATTGGTGGAGCCCAAGCCCCCCAAAATTTGAATTTAGGGGTGGTACGGGAAAATAGATTCCATTTATATAAGTCTTATAGTAAGTAACAAAGCTTACATGTTTCATTCCGATGTACACAAAAAACAACGCTTACATGTAAAACTGAGTTAGGGTGCACCATGACCCAGATTGCACCCCACTATCCCCCGCTACACCAATGTAAATGATGTGTGATATTCTAAAATTTGCGCTCATTGTGTAATGTGACAGTTGGACAAAGTAAGGCAAAAGGTTGTAGAAATGTCGGGCAGAGATGGAGAGGAAGTAAGGTTTGCCGTATCGCCTTATAGGATTTGTCCACTAGGAGCTCACATTGACCATCAGGTCTGTGAATTAGTTTCAACATGCAGTTATCCTTCCTTCTCTTGATTATAATAATTTGTTCAAACTAGTGGTGGATCACATAGTCCGCTAGAAGTCATATGAAATGGATCTAGCTACTTACATTGCATGTAACAATGACTTGTATATTTCTTTGATGTTTCTTGTCGCATTGTGATTACTTCACTTGATTTAAGAAAATGTCATCACGATTGCAGAGAGTCCTTGTATTAAGAGAAACTAAAGAGTGATTCTTGTTAAGTACTATCGTAATATGTTTCAGGGTGGAACTGTTACAGCTATGACAATCAACCACGGTATATTACTTGGATTTGTCCCCTCTAGCGATGCTCAGGTATGAGTTTTATACTTTTCATTAAATGAAACAACACATTAAAAGGTTCTATATGCATTTCAACAAATTTTACATATTAACAGGCTATTCGTCTTAAATTTTCCTCTTTCCAGAATGCCTGCTATTAAATATAATTTTCAGCTATCATTTTGCAATTAATCGATTCCTCGTACTGTTTTTTTCATATCTGATGGTAAACTAATACTGTGGTTTCAGGTTTATCTACAGTCTGGACAGTTCAAAGGTGAAGTTAGAGTCAGGTACCATGCATTGTTGGATTTTTTTTAAAAGAAGGTAAAACAAGGACTGTAAACACAAATTCAAAGTTTTGCAAGAATTCTGACACAATCTGTATCATTTGAAGTACTTTCACATGATACAATGTATGTGCTCAGAAGCATTTTCCACACAATCCTAGGTGAGTAGGTGGCACTGAGGCACCATTTGTTTTGCACAAATAGTTGGGACCCACACGTGAAAATATTCCAAGCGTGGCGCTCATCAATTTAGTGCAAATTAAATGGCAGCAAAGCTGTATAGAATTATTTATATATCACAACAACAGCAACAAATCATTTAGTGGTACAGAGTATTTTCTGTGTAATTTCAATTTTGACATAAGCTGGTGGAATCTGAAAATTTCAGAGTTGATGAGGTTGCGCTTCCCATTCACGTAGCTAAGTCAAAGGGTTTGTGTGTTGCAAAGGATTTGTATGAACCACATATTGAAGAAGCCAAGTGGGGAGACTACGTCAGAGGTGCTTTGTATGCATTACAAAAGAGCGGAAACCATCTGGCAAAGGTGTGAGTACACATTTTTGGTTTGATTTAGGCCTAATTTTGGATTAAGGCTGCAGTAGGAAAAAGCTCCACATTGAAAAAGCTTTTTTGGAAAGTAATTTTGAGAATTGTGGTGGGAATGTGCTTTTGAAATTCAAAAGCGTTTGACATTAAGGCTGAAAGTGCTGTGTAAACTTTAAAGTGTGTATAAAAGAAACGTTTTGTTCAACAAGCACAAATCTCAAAAAGCAAAAGTTTTCTTGATTCCTGAACTAACCTTTTCTTTAAAGAGTATCCTTTTATATCTTTTATTATAAGAAATTATCAAGTTTATGAAATATGCTCTAAAATGAACTCCCTTTCCGTCCATATTCCCACACCTAAACATACTCTAAATGATTGAAAAAGAAGGGTTATTAAAGCTTAAATTTATAAGCATCTTTTTCTTGTATTATACTATTATTGTTATTTGCAGGGTTAACTCTTCACAAATCAGCAGTCACAAACTAATCCTGCTTGGTGTTTAGTTCCTATAGGCCTTCATCTAGAAATTCATAGGCAATAAAAATTTCATAGTATTTTGGGTAATGTGAAAATGTGCTACAAAATAATCAAGATTGAGTACACAGCTTAACTTTTAAGTATGAAGTGTATTAGTGCTTTATTCATTGAATTGTTTTTGTAAATGTTCACTTTTAGTCAAGTTAATTCAGGTTAAAACACCAACAATGATCACAGATGAAAACAACATTTTTGGATCCGTTTAATCTGAAAAATTCTAGGGAAAGATAACAGAAAGGAAATTATAGAATATAGATGAAAACTTGAAGCTAGGAAAGAAAATATGAGGGAGAATAAAAAGAAAGACCGAAACTCCAAACCATACAACAACATCCAAGTCTTATTCCCAAAAGAGTTTGGGGTTGGCTAACATGAATCGGCATATGACACCAGAGTTAAAAGCATTAGATAAAGAAAGAGGGAGACAAACAATATTCAAAATTCTACATCCTGACTATAAATATTTTAATTCTCATGTTATTTATTGTTGTCTATTATATAAAGACTAAGAAATATAATATATGTATAAAGTTTGATAAAACTAATTACATTTTGTTTTGCTTTGGACTTCCCAAAGTAAAACAAAACATAAGAACATACCATACTTAGCATTTCTTTCACTTTCACCCTCCCCTAGCAATTTCCAAGATCAAAACCTACCCTTTATATTGCCACTCTACTTATATCACCTTTAAGCTGTAGTTTAATTGTTTGAATTAGTTTCTGAGTAAGAGTGACAAATGTTATTGTCATGCTTCTATAATTATTCTGAGGCAAGATTGTTATGTGCCGAGTTTCTTTGCGTCACGGGGGTGAATTAAAAGGATAAACGAGAGGGCCATGGAATTTTGAGAGTTTTCCTTCTTAATTTTCTTCTGAAGTCTTTCTTGGATGTTTTATTAGCACATCAAAGCTCCCTTTAATAATCAAATCAGGATAAAATCAGTCAAGAATATATATATCAGCAATAACTCCTCATTTTCCAACTTGGTTTCCCTTTAATCTTTCCATTATATTATATTGTAGATGCATCATTATATTGTCTTTCCATAATATATTATATTGATAGTGGTAAGTATTTCCACCTGTCACCTGTGACCCAGGTTTGTTCCCCGTGAATGGAACCAAAATGTTATATGCCGGGTTTCTTTGCATTACAGGAGTAGATTAAAAGGATAACCAGGAGAGTCATAGAATTTTAGGGAGTTTTCCTTCTCCATTAGAATTTGTGGAGTTTTCTTTCTCCTTGAGTTTCTTCTTAATTCTTTCTCGGATACTTTATTAGCATAGCAAAGTTCCATTTTATAATAATGATTACATGCATATGAACGACTAAAACAAGGAAAAGGAAATCCTAGCAAATCACTCCTAAAATAAATTAACTACTGAAGGCATCAAAATCAAATAAGAATAAAATCAACCAAACAAATAAATCAGCAATAACTCCTCATCCTTCTACTTAATTTCCCTTCTATCCATCCATAATATTATATTGTAGCATGCAACAAAGAGTGCTCTTTCCATTCATTTTCTTTTGTTTCATCAATCATCATCATGGTAACCTTTTGTAGGGTATCACCGGTTTTATATGTGGTTCTGGAGGTCTTGATAGTTCCGGTCTGAGTTCTTCAGCAGCAGTAAGTCTATTTTACTCATTTTATTCACTCTCCATAATGTATTCAAGAGAGTTGTGTGTTTGAATTAGTCAAAGCCCTGTATGTTCTTATTTAACCGGTATAGTGCTTTTGTGAATCTAATGACCATTGAAGTGAAGTTATTACTCTCTTTTCAACTGTTAGAATATTTTCCTAAACAGAGTATTATTTTTTTTGATGTGTGAATTGCCCAACAGGTCGGTGTAGCATATTTGTTGGCTCTAGAAAGTGCAAATAATCTCTCCGTGTCTCCTACAGAAAATATTGAGTATGATAGGTATATTATGTTCCATGGGCACATTGTCTACTTACCAAATGTCATAGCACGATTAAATTTCATGTCTTATCCAGATTTGATGCATTCTGGACTTGGAGCTCTTTCAAGCACTTTTATGCCCTTTCGAATTCATAAAAGGAAGTTGCCTATAAAATTTGTTAAGGAATTCAAGCTTCAATTGTAAATGTGGCAGTCATATCCATATAGATTAGATGATAATCATGAAAAATGGTATTGTAACACTATAAGTAATTCCAGTTTCGCCCCGCCACTTTGGTTGTTGTGGTCAAACGAGACCAGATTTGGTCCACTGACCCTTGACAATGTGTTAATATTTTTCCTCCATGGCACACAGTTTAGTGCATTTTATGTTCAAATCAAGCACATTTTTAAGAGTCAAGGAGCAAATGTGGTTTCCCAGTAATCTCTTAAAATTACAGAAACTAGGGATTAATGGACAATTAATAGAGAAGAAAATCTGGCAGTGAATAGGAATCATAAAAGGAATACAAGGTTAGGCAATTCGAGAGTGCCTTGCTCTCCAAGTTCTAACTGAATACCAACCTGCCTAACTTTCACTTTCTCCCAGCAATCTTTTACTCCAATCTCCCAGGTTATTTATTTAGGATTCTTTCCCCGCCTAGTATACACTTCAGAAAAATCCTTGTGGGTATAATAATAAAATGGTTCCTGTCCCTATCAAAAGAACTCATAGATATAGTCAAGCATCTATATAAATCTATAAGGTTAAAATATTCAATTTCAATTATTCTGCTAGTTAGAATTCATTCCGATTGCTTGTTTCCCTTAGATTAATTTGGGTTCTTTCCATAAGTAACTGTCTGCAATCAGTTTCTTCTCACTTTTATGCCTGTTCATACTACATTTCAGGTCGTTTTAACTTTTTGATGTGATTGTCTTACTTGCAGAATAATTGAAAATGAATATTTTGGTCTAGAAAATGGCATATTGGATCAATCAGCCATCTTGCTTTCAAGCCGTGGCTGTTTAACTTGTATAGATTGCAAGGTAGTCTGTGCGCACACGTTTGAGACAAAACGTAATGTCAGGAGAAACTACTTGGTTTTCAAGAGCTCAAAAGTTAAAAGCTTCAAGTGAAACAATCATATTGTTATATTGAAATACCATTATATTCTACAAACCAGATTTCTTGAATTGCTAAATGTTGTGATCACTGTTTGATGAAACTACTTTTGGAGGTCTGGGTTGAATTTTCAAACTGAAAAGATCTGCATACTATTTTTCACTTTTCACTGTCTGAGAATCTTAGATGATGTGCAGACCAGAGAGTACAAACAAATACAACCCCCAACATCACACGATCATCTGAAAACAGAGTTTCAAAGTGCACACAAGATAATGTTGGCATTCTCTGGCCTCAAACAGGCATTAACAGCGAATCCAGGATACAATCGACGAGTCTCTGAGTGTCGGGAAGCCGCAAAGGTCCTATTGAAGTAAGATTCTGCTCTATTTTTCTTACATTTTCTTTTACAGCAACATTTGGTTGCAATTTAAACCCTGCCATGTCATGCTTGGACTCATGGTTTTAAATTGCTGTTACGGTCACTGCGGTTGCGGCTATTGCGGCCACTGCGATCCGTATTGTGTTTGATGCGGGTGAAATAATTTTACATTTCCACGAAATGAAAAAAGTAAAAAAATAGTGTTGCAGTCCTGGTGCAGTTTGATGCGGCCTGCATGCGGTTACATTACGGTTTTAGCCGTGAAATTAAAAAGCACCACTATTGTGGTGTGATGCAGTTGCGCTGCGGACCGCAACCGCAATATTGCGGCTGCAACACGTGTTGCAGTCCGCAATATAAAACCATGCTTGGGCAATACAAATGTGTTATATAAAAACATGAGGAAGGAAATAGATGACTATTTGATACGAAAGAATAAACAGGATGAGCACAAGACCATGTACCTTTTTTTTTCCAACGAGAATTGTGTATTTATTAATAAAAGAGTTGGAAAGATTACAAAATGACAACAAAAGGCATAAAACAAGCCCTAAACGAGAGAGAAGGCCCAGACAGGCGGCCCATAGAAAAATTGAAACAGAATACGTCCAAGGCTAGAGAATAAACTCCTGCCTTCCAACATAACTGGCCAAAAAAAAAGAGGAATGCCAGTGAGAGCGGCGGCGGCTTTCGGAGCATGAATATCGCTCTCGCTCTCATTACTTACACGTAATGAAAACCACGCTCCTGCCTTCCAACATAACCGTCCATGTACCTTTATTAAAATGTTTTACTACTACCCACTTGTTGAAATGTTTATTGATCCTGAATATTTCTTGAACTATCCCCTCTTGAATACTCAATAGTGGAATATTTCTAATTCATCAAGGATAGTTATTAATGACGAGACGCGTTCCTTAATAACCCTTAGGACACGTTTACTTCATGGGTTACTAAACGGTGCTTATTAAGACTCGCGTTAATAAGCGTCACATAAAATAAGCATTGTTGTAAACTCATGTTTACTTCAAAAGATTTAAAACACTGTTTAACATTAAAATGTCCAAAATAACCCCATACATATATAGACACACAATCATTCATGAACACAAATATATAATATAATATGTGTAGGTCACCTGGTACGCGTACCCATACCCCTAACCCCTACCCCGCCCTATACCCCGTACCCCCAAACCCTTCCCCTACCTACCCTACTCGTAGGGGTGGGGTTGGGAAGGGCTACGGGGTGGGGAATATGGTGGGTGAGTAAGGGGTGGGGTCGAGGTAGGGGAATGTGGTATGGGGTAAAGGGATAGGGATCAGGGTAGGGTAAGGGGTACGGGGGTGGGGTAAGGGTTGGGTCGGGGTCAAGGTAGGGGCAGATGGTAGGGGTTAAAGGTGGATATGAGTGGGGGTGGGGTAAGGGGTGTGGTCGGGGGGTAGGGTAGGGGTAAGGTAGGATGTAGGATGGGGTAAGGGTGGGGTATGGTCGGGGGGTAGGGTAGGGGTAAGTGGTAAGGTAGGATGGGTAATGGTGGGGTTGGGTCGTGTTGGGGTCGGGGTAGGGTAGGGGTAAGGTAGGATGGGTAAGGGTGGGGTCGGGGTAAGGTAGGGTGGAGGCGATACATTCCACCACCATAGGTATAGGTAAAAAAAATCCATCGAGTGGTAAGTGTAAAATCCCCCCGGCAAGATGCCTATTATTTATAATAGGGTAAGGGCAAGGGGTAAGCAAGGGGTAAGGGTAAATTCGGAAACTGAAAAAGCTTAAAGTGCCGCTTAATTAATACATGGGGGTGGTATGCTTAGTAAGCGGCACTTTAAGCACCTCTTTCAGTTAGTAAGCAGCTTGCGTGTTTACTTCACCTGGCTTACTAACCTAAATATGACTTCCGCAAAGTAAACACCTCCTTACTATTAAGTCAATATAGAATAAGCGTCTTATATTGACCCGATAGTAGCGATATATCTTTTAGATGAAATCAACTGAAATTGACAAGCTCAACACAAGCAGTTTTTCGATCTAATCAATATAAATACCCCTTCTTAGATTATTCACAATGAGATGCACACATTAATTATCTAAGCTTACTACTTTTGAAATAATCAATGATTAACTACCAATTCATTGATTGTTTCTAGTAGTAATTATTGTTACAACGTTAACAAATCGTCACTTAGCAACACTTCAACATTAGTATGAAGATATGACTAGGGAAGAATGATAGAACCTGGTATAAATCTCAACAGAACAATAACAAGTCCGCAGAGATCGATGAAAGTGAATTATTGAAGTAGGTAGTAATCAGAATAGGTATACAGGTGCTGGGACTGTTCGAGAAGCCCACTCTCCAAGCCAAAATAACAATTCAATAACAGCCTACCCTTTTTAGCTGACTCCCCCTTCTATTTATAGTCCATATCCACGCAGGGATAAAAGGAACTATTAACTAGTTAATTAACTAATAATAGACTTCTTGTCTTTTCTATCATACTCTTTAATGACTAGGCCCACTAATTATTTGTTGAATAGGCCCACTAATTATTTATTCCTATCAATACTCCCCCCCTAAACAACCACCTTGTCCTCAAGGTGGGTGATAGGAGTCAGCCTTGACTATCAACTTTATCTTCATTCGAGCTCTTCTCCCTTCCCAGTACCACATTGCCTTCTGGCTCTTTAACTTCAACGCTTGGGCCATCCTTTTGATCTGTACTACCGCATGACTGAGCATATGCAATGATACTGTTGTGTCATTCCCAACCTCCTGTTTAGATGGCCAATGAAGAGAGCTATGGTTCCAGATTGTTTGTTGAATAGTTTCACTATGAATGTTCAGTACACCCCACCAGATTCTAGCAGCTGTGGTTCCCTTCCCACTTCCTTGTTTTAAAGATAGGTCCACGAGATGTCCTGTCTGGGAATTAACAATCACAACCGCCTGAGAAGTAGAATCCAGTTCCATATTGAGTCCATCCATATGATATTTAAAATCAAACTCTTTAGCCCAGCTCAATCCAGAATCTGAGGAGCCCCAGAATAGAAACTTGTCAGTCTTGTTTTGGTGATGGAATGCTTTCAAATTGTCACCCTTTACTAACATCCTCATCTTGGCATCAGATTGAGTGACCCCTGATTCTTCAATTGCAATATTCTGTGGATCCTTCTGCCCCCATGACTGTGTCAAAACATCCTGGGGTGTTAATATACAGTCACCAACCTGAGCTTGGTCCTGACTTTCAGCATAAGCAACACCCTTCTCCATTTGCAGCAATCTCCCCTCCTGGTACACTAAATACCCATCTCCATAATCTTGTATAATCTGTGACATAGTTTTCAAAGAAACCTCTATTGAATTCAGCTGGGGATCTCCTTGGATGTTCTGCTCCAACCACTGTACCTTCCATTTAATACTTTGCTTCTGAAAGTTGATTTCCACATCCCCCAGGCTGGTTAACCACTCCATCCCCAATACTAAATCAGTTCCTCCCAAATCCAGCATATAGAAGTTCTGCTTTATGTCCGTATCCTGCATACATAAGATTAGATCTTCACACCTACCATTGTTGGACATCTTTTCTCCATTCCCAATTTGAACCTTGTATCCTGAAATGGTAGTATAGGGCAGCTCCAGTTGATCAACTATACTCTGAGATATGAAATTGTGGGTAGCCCCACTATCGATAAGAACTTTCACCTGCCTTTCTCCTTTGTCCCACTTTAAACATCCCTGGACCTTGAAAGCCCTCATAGAAGGTATTCCTTCTTGGCTCATGAAGGATAATTGCATTGATTTGGATTCCATAGTAACTTCTTCCTCCTCAGAACTTTCAGAATCCTTATCCAGCTCCTTCTCCCCATCTGAATCTTCTACCAGCATCATTTTATAATTTTTCAGATTACAAATGTGCTCTTTGTTCCACTTCTCCCCACATTTAAAGCATAGTCCCTTCCTACTCCTTTCCTGAAACTCTTCCTGAGATAACTGAGGACCTACCTTTTTTATTCCTGAAGGGTTTATTTCAGTCACCCTCTTTCCCATCTTCTCAAACCAAGAATTGAAATCCATGCTTTCAGCTGCACCCTTGTTATGGTTATTGAACCCTGAACTCCCAGCCTTGGTTTTGTAACCATCTCCCCAATGTTGAGGTTTAGCAGTAACTGATCCTCTATCCTTTCCCCAAAGTTTGTCATTCTCATGCTTCTGCTGTTCAATAGCTTCATTCTTCCTTTCAATCAACAAAGCCTGATCCATAATTTCAGCTAATGATCTGGAATTATACAGTTTTAACTCCGCTTTGATATCTTTCTTCAATCCATTAATGAAAACACCTCTCAGAATTTCTCTGTTCACAGTCCTCTGAGGCGCAATGATCATTTCAAATTCCTCTCGGTACTCCTCGACAGTTCCAGTTTGCTTCAAACTGAGCATTGGCCCATACGGATTTTGCATAAGCTCAGGTTGAAACCTGCGGAGTATAGCTTCCTTCAAGGTCTCCCAGTTTCTCTCTAAAGTTTGGTGTTCCCACCACTGGAACCAATTGAGTGCCCTATCTTCCATAGCTACTATAGACACTTCCAATTTATCTCCCTCAGAGATCTGGTTTAACCTAAAATACCTCTCCATTCGTATTAACCAGTTATAAGCTCCATCTCCCTTGAACAATGGCAGTTCAACCTTACGACCAGTATAAACAGGATTTCGAGTATATTCCTCATGTCTTCTGTGATTAATAGGAATAGAATGTCCGAAATTACCTCCTGAAACTCCTGGACTAGTCGAGTGTGGGGATTGATGACGATGATGAGATCGCGAGTGGTGGTGCAGCGGAGATCGCGATCTTCCACGAGGCTGGTCGCGGATGCTATGGATCTGCTCATTCATCGCTGCCATAGAAGCAGCGATGTTGCTCTGAATCTGTTCGTTCATCGTTGCCATCGTGGCCGTGAGGTTGGCCGTGAGGTTTGCCATCACCGTCCTCATCTCTAGTTCTAATGCTTCTATGCGATTCTCCATTTGTAATCTCGTTTTAACCATCCGCCGCTGAAACGAGAGCTCAACTACAGTCGCACTTCACTTCCGATTCCCCAGGAGCAGTGATGCTCTGATACCAATGATAGAACCTGGTATAAATCTCAACAGAACAATAACAAGTCCGCAGAGATCGATGAAAGTGAATCATTGAAGTAGGTAGTAATCAGAATAGGTATACAGGTGCTGGGACTGTTCGAGAAGCCCACTCTCCAAGCCAAAATAACAATTCAATAATAGCCTACCCTTTTTAGCTGACTCCCCCTTCTATTTATAGTCCATATCCACGCAGGGATAAAAGGAACTATTAACTAGTTAATTAACTAATAATAGACTTCTTGTCTTTTCTATCATACTCTTTAATGACTAGGCCCACTAATTATTTATTGAATAGGCCCACTAATTATTTATTACTATCAAAGAATTAATATCAAGAGTCAGGAAGATGAGTTTAAGAAAATAACTATAACTTTAAAATCCGACAAGCTTCAAGATAGTAAAAACCAAGTTGAAGAAGTTTAGCTCCTCATTGGAGTCTAAACACATAAGAAAGTATAGGAAAAATATTAATCTAAACTGAACTTAATGATGAGGGGTGATGGATATGAAAAATGGGAAGAAAAGGGGTGCTTTTATAGGGGCTTTGAAGATGCTGGGACAGATATCCAACTGGGAATACAGTAGCTACCAAAGTGCTGAAATCAAGTCATATTCGATCGGGGATGTCAATATACCCTATCACATAATGCCCAAATCTGATTTTCCCAAGTTCTCTTGCTTTGATTGATCTCATATGATCTTTGAGTCAAATCATACTCAACCGGGTAGTGATTACACCCGACCGGGTGCGATACCAAATCAGATTTCTTGCATAAAATCTTGCTCCCCTGCATCTTCTTTTGATCTTGTAAGATCTCTTCAATGCTCCTTTGTTTCAAATTAATTGATCTAAACCCAGGATCCTCTAAAACTATCAAATTACAATAAAATAGGAAAATAAATGGTTGCACCGTTAATGTGCAATTGCTACACCAACAAACCGTAAAAACTACTACCTCCATCCCATTTTATTTGATTTTGGCACAATTTTTAATAAAGTGGTTGAAAAGGTAAAAGTTGTGGTTGAGATTTGAGTATATTAAAGTGAAATGTTGTGAACAACATATTTCTTTCCAAAAAGGGAAATGTGACACTTATTTTGGGACAACCCAAAAAGGAAAGTAAGACAGGTAAAATGAGACGGAAGGAGTAATTAAAAGTAAAAACATAAACACTCAAAAAACAATGCAATAAGTAGACACTCAAGATTTGGATTGAGATGAGATAGGGCAGTGAATAGAGAGAGATTCCAGCAGTGTTGATACGAGGTTTTGAACTGATTTTCCGAACAAAAAGGAAGAACTCACATTGAAACTAGACTAAACTATAATGCTCTGAAATATAATGCTCTGATACGATGTTAATAGAATTAAAGATAGATTACTAACGAGAAGGTTTTATGTGTATATCATTGGAGGGTTATGTTCCTATATTCTACACACATATTCTTATATTTTTCACACAGACATTAATATGATTCTTTTATTGCTTATCTTAACTCAGTAATAATTCCTTCTCCTATTTGTGAGATGGTTTCAAGTCTCCGAAATATGCAAGTATGTAATATTTCCTTTAAGAGTTCGACATAGATATTTAAGAGAGGCTGAGTGAGGAGACAGGGAGGAGAGGGAGTGGATAACCTAAACAGACATGGATTAGAGTGGTCAAGAATGATATGACATTTTTTGGGTTAGATGAGAGTATGACTTTGGATACGGAAAAAATGGAGGTGGAGAGAGGAGACAGGAGGAGAGGGAGTGGTTAACCTAAACAGACGTGGATTAGAGTGGTCAAGAATGATATGACATTTTTGGGTTAGATGAGAGATGACTTTGGATACGAAAAAGTGGAGGGAGAATATACATGTGAAAGACTGAAAGATTGATCTGATTTTGTTTGCTCCCTTTTTCTCTACTTATTGTTTTTATCTCCAAAGTCATATGTTGGGTCATGTTTGCTAGTCCCGAACCCCTTTGGAAATAAGGCATGGATGTCGTATACATAGTGGGTTTGATCTTTATAATGTGGATTGACACAATTCCATTTCGGAGCCACTCAACTTGAATTCTATCATTTACATTGTATAAAAAAATGAGACTCTGCATCTAGATTAGCTCAATCAAATTACAAAATGGCACACTCAATGTTCAAGCTCGTACAATATTATGAGATTTTTACTTGGATATTACTAATATTGAACCATTTACCCAAAAAGTGACCACTTTTAAAAAGGGGCAAAAAAGTGATCAAAAAGGTCATATATGTGCAATTAGAAAACATGATGTAACTTCAAAAATTTTATGTCACTGTGTTCGTTTTTTTGTAACTACAGCCACCACCTGTGTCACTGTAGCCACCGCCCGTGTCACTGTAGCCACCGTCCGTGTCACTGTAGCCACCGCCCGTGTCACTGTAGCCACTGCCCGTGTCACTGTAGCCACCGCCCGTGTCACTGTAGCCACCGCCACAGTGACGCCGCCACAGTGACGCCGCCATAGTGACATCTCCACCCCAGCTTTTGACCACCGTGACTTCTCCGCCGTCGATAACCGCTGGCCACCTCCGATCACCTCCATAGGCCATAGTTACACCACCGAGTGACATCTTCGCAGTTACAACTCCATAGTGACGCACAATTGCTCCGGCCAGTGTATTCCGGCCACCACCACCATCCCATTCCCACTGCCTCTCCCCCACACACCTACTTTCATTGCCTCTCCCCCACACACCTACTTTCATTGCCCCTCCCCATCCCCACGCCCAAGCACCAGAAATTCCATTCCCAGCCCCTTGCTTCCTCCAGCCACGACTCCTTGACCTGCCGCAGATCCCTGCCTCCTCATCAGTCCCCCTCCCCTGCGCACCAGCCCCCTCCCTTGCGCATTAGTCCCCCTCCCCTGCGCACTAGCCCCCCTCCCCTGCGCACCAGCCCCTTCTCTGTGCACCAGCCCCCCTCCCCTGTGCACCAGTACCCCTCCCCTGCGCACCAGCCCCGTCCCCTGCGTACCAGCCCCCACGTCGTAGCTTCCAACCCCGCCACCAGTCATTTCCCTACCCCTACCGCACCTGAGTCGCACAGATCTGAAAAAAGGTGAAATCCTTCAGATTCGATATGAAATCCGGATTCTGTGGACGTCGAGGTGGAGCGTCGGTTGGATGGCGAGGCTATTGCGACGAGGTGGAGCGTCGTTTGGATGGAGAGGCTGTAGCCGGTACGATTGGAGGCGGTGGCGGTGCGATGGCCGACTGCGGCGGTGCGATTGAAGACTTCGGAGGTGTGATAGCTCACTGCGGCGGGGAGATGCGGATTGCGGAGGGACGATGGCCGACGGCGGGGGAGATGGCCGACCGTGGAGCTGTGGAGAAGAAAGATGACTTGGGATGGAGAAGAAGATTTGCTGGTCTCTTGCGAATTGGGATGGAGAAGACGAAGGGGATCCGCTGGCTTTTATTTTTTAACGGTAGACGGGTCACTTTTTTGGGAATACAAAAAATGGTAATGTTTTTGAAATTAGAAACTTGGGGAGTAATATTGGTGCCATTTATTATTTGGAGGGGGGGGGGAGGTCTGGAAAAGAGATATATTGGTTGCCTTGCCTTCCTGTTTTGAAAGGATTTCTACAAGGAGGCAGATTCAAACCCTTAAGTTATTTAGACATTTATGTCTGTTTTTATAATTTGGCCAATGTGATGACTTAACACAAGCTATAGGATGAAAGGGGTGAGACTGTACTAACTGCGGTGAGCATGCAATTGGTATTAATTGACAACAACAACAACACTACCCTAGTGCCGCAAACGGCGCAAAGGTTCCCACCTACGGTGGGGTAAGGGGGATCGAATGTACACGACATTACCATTGTACTAAAGCACAGAGAGACTGTTTTGTTTCTGATGACCCACGATGAAAATCACATCGAAAATTGCATGGACTGATTGCTGCTTTATAATAAACAAGCACAGACAGCTTAGTGAGCCATTTTGCTTTATACCATCATATTTTCAAGCCAAAAAATAGTGAGTCTTTGATTCCATTGAAAATGATAGAAATAATTGGTATTAATTGACATTGTAATAAAATCATGGATAAGTGGGTCAAAAGTTTTAGGTTAAAAAATGACGGTACTTTTTCAATGTAAAAACACAATGGAAGTGTAGCCTTTCAATGTGTTTGAGGTTTTCATTTATAATATATTCATCTGTCACGGCATCACTTTAATCTATAAACTATGTTGGGGTAGGTGCGCGCTCACAATAATATGATAATTAGTTTGGTTTAAATATTTTATTATTTTTTCTATTCACATAGGGCGTCAGGAAGTGAAATAGCAGAACCTATCCTGTCCAATGGTTAGCATACTGACCCTGCTTATCAGATAAGACATAATTTTGTTTATCTTAATTTTCTAACCTTTTAACATCCTGTGCAGTCGCACAAAAAGATTATGAAGCTCACAAGGTATATGAATTTTTGTAATACCATGTTAGATTTTTATTTATTTAATCTTTTATGGTAATTATTACATCTTTATCTCTGTGAGAAGAAAATAATTAGTTTGACGTATTTCTCCAGAATAAATTAGAAACGAACTTGGCCAGAAGAGCAGAGCATTACTTCTCAGAAAATAACCGAGTTGTCAAAGGTACATATTCCCATATGACTTTCTTTCAAATTATATATGCATACATACAGAGGGAGGATCAAATAAAAAACGTTATTAATGTGCGAAAAATGTGAAATGCACTTGCGCTGGTATAGTTGTGAAAAAATTGCCTCCGTATAACCCCTCCACTTTTGAATTACAAAAATATCACTTTTTTTCTCTTTTCTAAAAATATCACCAAACCTAATCTCTGCAACTTCCCACTCGACATTTCCATTCCCCCTCTCGGCAACTTCCCCTCTCACCAACTATCGCAACCCCTTCTGGCATAGATCGGCTCAACCTTATGGCGGCCGACTCTGCCGGCATCGCACCGCCACCCGCCACCGCCTTAGGTCGCCGGTTCCACTTTATGCCTTCCGCCTGTGCCGCCATCATACGACGCCGTCTCCGCCATCAATCAGCTTCGCCGCCTTCGCCGCTCCGGTTCTCTTCTTCTCCTTCTTTAATCCCTGTCCGATTGATGAAGCAATGACAAAGATGGACTGACATCAACATGGTAGAAAGGCTAAGGTTTCCAGATCTGCGTTAAAGTTCCGGCGGTTAGGGTGTAAGTGCTTGGATTTCAGATCTGGTGGACGGAGTTGGGTGTGGCTAGGTTTTGCCTAGGCAAAGGGGGCAGATGTGGTTCAGTGGCAGGGGAGGGAGACAGGTTGTGAGTCTTGGGCTGCGCAAGGGGGTGTGGTGGGGGGCTAGGGTGCGGTGGCCGGTTGGAGTGGTCACAACGGTTGCGGGAGGCAGTGGTAGAGTCTTGTGTCGCTCTTTGCAGGGCAGGGGTGTGGTTATTGAGACGGCGAGGCTGGGGTGGTGGCAGTGGCGGAGGAGGGCTAGGCCGGGGTGAAACAGGGTATTGGCTGAGGTGAAGGTGGGGTCGGACAGGGGGCTGGGGTTAGGAAGGGGGTCGAGTAGAGGGCTGATGTGAGGCATGGGAGGGGGCTAGGTGATGCAGCAGGCTGGGTGTGGTAGTCGCCGGCGGTGGCCGGAGTTGATGGACGCCGGAGATGGTGGTTACCAATAGTGGACAGGGCTTGGGGCTTGGGTTGGGGTGCGGTGGCCACCTTGCTGGCCGGGGTGGTTGGTTTGAGGTGGTTCAGTTGAAGGCGTGGACATTGACAATGACTTGCCGGGGGAGGGGGGCGGCAGTGACTGACCGGGGCAGTGACTGGCCGGGGGGTGGCGGCTGTCACTGGTGGCGACAGTGACTGGCCGGGGGGTGGCGGCAGTCACTGGTGGCGGAGTCACTTTCAATGGCGGCGGCAGTCACTGCCCGGCGGTGGCAGAATTGTCGTTGAGCAGGTAGTCAACGTAACCGGAGTCAAGCGGTGGTCATTATGGCCAGTAGGCAGGAGTCACTGTGACCAGCGGAGTCACTTTGGCCAAAAAGTACCCCTTATGTTCCTAGATGAATGATCCTGTCAGGCACGCCTAACAGGATGCGTCATGCAGACTTATCCGTTTGAGGGTCTTTCTGGTGAATTTTTTTAATGAATGTTTTTTAACATGTTTCTTATCAAGTCTAGTTTATACATACCGAATTTCAGCTCAAAATTTGATCGAGATTGCAGTTAAGTAAATTCTTGAAACATACTGCGCATTTTGTACATATATAAAGCGCAATATGATTCAAAAATTTATTTAACTGCCTCCCCGATAAAATTTTGAGTTGAAATTTGGTGTGTATAAACTAGACTTGATGAGAAATATGCTAAAAATATTTATGAAAAAATTCTACTCTCAAATGGACAAGCCCGCACGTCTCTGATCAAACGCGCCTGACCAGATCAGTTCTCTATGTTCGTATATGATTCTTATTATTTTCGGAGTAATTTTTACTTTTCTTATTCAATTCTTAAATCAAAGGAGGCAATATCTAGTAGCATGGAGAGTATCTAATTGGATTGAGAGAGTATCTAATTGGAAAGTTCTTGGGAGAGCAGCGGCCCCACTTCCCCCTTTGTGTTGGCCAAGTTTACCACTTTACCCTATCGATAGATATGCACAGTATATAAGCATATCCTAACATACGTGTAGCAATTTCTTATAGAAAAAATGGCACGGATATTAGTCATGGACTCTTAAAAGACAAATATATTGTTGTTTCTTCTTTTTCCAGTAATATGTCTTCACCGTCAAACAGCGCCAAACTTACGCGACCTGCGATTCCGAGATCTCGTCTGCTCCCATCTCCGCTTTTTCTTCAATGATGAAGGCAAGCGCTTCTCCTCGCCGCACACGCTGCCTCCGCTCCTCGCCGCACACGCTGCCTCCGCTCCTCGCCGTGTCTCCTCAATGCCGTCCCTCCTCTTCAGCTGCCACAACCTTCTTTTCTTCTTCTACTCCTTTCTCTCCCTCTGCCGTCGCTCGAGCAGGTGCAGGTCGGTCTTCGATTCAAAAGCACGCCGCTACAACTCCAACTCTGTGATACTGCCACCTCGCCGCTGTAGTGTCGCTTACTCGCTTCTGCCGTCCAATAATCGAAATTCTAGATCTAATTTGAAGGATTTCGATTTTTTAGATTTGGTTCGTTCTGGGGTGACTCAGATGCGGTAGGGGTAGGGAGGTGGCAGATGTGGGGCTAGAAGCTAGGGCGTGGTTTGTGGGTGGGGTGCGACGTTGGGCGAATGGGGGAATGGTGAGGCAGGGGAGGTCCGGGGATTTGCGTGAGGTTGGGCAGGGAGTCAGGCAAGGGGCTGAGGTGAGGTTGGGCATAGGGCTGATGTGAGGCGGAGCTATGGTGACACAGGGGAGGGGGCTAGGTGAGGCAGGAGGCTGGGACGTGGTGGTCGCAGGTGGTGGCCGGAGTTGGTGGTTGCCAATGGTGGATAGGGGCTTGGCTTGGCTTGGGGTGCGGTGGCCGCCTGGCCGGCCGGGGTGGTTGGTTTGTGGTGGTTCAATGGAAGGGGTGAACAGACTTGCCATGGGCGGCAGTGACTGGCTGGGGTGACAACAGTGACTGGTCAGGGGTGGTGGCAGTCACTAGCGGTGTAGTGTGACGGCGGAGTCACTGTTGATGACGGCGGCAGACACTGGCGGTGAGCGGGCATTTTGTTTGGGCAGTGAGAAGGCTCACCGTAACCGGAGTCACTGTGGCCAGTGAGCGGTGGTCACTATGGTCGCTAGGCGGGAGTCACTGTGACTGGCGGGGTCACTTTGGTCGGAGTCACTTTGACCGGAGTCACTTTGATCAGAGTCACTGAGAAAGTGACTGGTGGCGGCGGTGCCGGCGCCGGTAGTGGTGCTGGGTTGGCGGCTACAGAGGTGCTGGTGCTGCAAAATTGAAAGTGACTAAAATTGAAAGTCAATGCAGCAAATACATTAGTCACTACATATGTTGCCGTATCAACCGTATGTAGCAGTCCTCAATTATACACCCGGGTATCAGAAAGTCATATGATTGGAAATTTATCTTTTAGCCCACTTTTTTGTCAATCCGTCTTTAATTAGTAATATCTATAATAAAAGACCTATAGTTGTCTGGTAAGCTATTGCAATTTAAACAGTTGTAAAAAAGATTTTTTTTTGAACATGCGATGACAATTTTGTAAAATAAGTGCACTACTTTAACATAAAGTGCACTTCAACCCTGTAAAAGTGAATAATTCGCATTTTACCCTTTAAGACCCATTTTTATTTGATCCGCACTATATGTGTGTGAATAAGAATATGATACTTCGGTGGAACTAAAGGAGTTGAGGCATGGGCTTCTGGAAACATCGAGGAGTTTGGGAAGCTTATTACAGAATCTGGTTTAAGTTCTATCCAGAACTATGAGTGCGGTACGTCTCCTTTTCTCAATGTGTTTTTATCAATTTGAGTGATGATGATGAAGGATATATTTACCAATATATATATATATATATATATATATATATATATATATATATATACACACACACACACACACACACACACACACACACATATCAATTTGAGTGAATATGTATTTTCCGGACCAGTTAACTTGCAAAAATCATTTGACGACCTTCCCGATGGAATGTTTTGCTGAAATTTGGAACTTGACTTGATGAATAACATACACAAAACATTTGAGCAAAAAATACCACTAGGAAGGTCCCCAAATGGAGGAGGCCGGACGGGGCTCCGGTCCGGAAATTCCTGACAGGAATAGCACTATATATATATATATAGGGAGAGTTCTAGCGAGAACCCTTCTTAATAATGACAAGGTGGCACTATACATATTCCGGACCAGTTAACTTGCAAAAATCATTTGACAACTTTCCCGATTGAATTTGTTTCTAAAATTTGGTATGGATGAACTAGACTTGATGAGGAACCTACACAAAAAATTTGAGCAAAAAATACCATCGGGAAGGCCCCCAAATGGAGGAGGCCGGACGGAGGGAGTGGTCCGGCCTGGCCGGACCTGAACTTTAGTGTATATATATATATATATATATATATATATATATATATATATATAATGTATAGGGGAGAGTTCTAGTGAGAACCCCTCTTAATAATGACAAGGTGGCATTTTTGTAATTGATAGAGTATTAATTCTAGAGAGAAGGGAGAGCTAGAGAGATAAAGTGATGTGTACAAATGAATTCCAATCAAACATCCAATCAGTCCCTTTTACATGGCTCCCATAGGGAGTATTTATAGGAGAAAAGAGGGCTGGGCTTCCAGGCTTGGGCCTGGCTGGCCCAGTTACAATAAAAGGCCAATAAATGGCTAATAAATGGTATCTAATCTATTCTAATGGATATACATGAATAAAATAGAGTGTACAATGAGATAAATGCTATCTACTGAGCGTATGTGGGCCGCTGTCCGGGCCCAATAGTCGTGAGACCCGGGGGTCCGAGTCTATATACTCTATCAGGAGTCCCCCACTCTCTGAGTCGAGAGTACTCGAGGCGAAAGAGAGTAGAACTGTGTGCTGATCTGTCGTCGTCCGGTGAGTAAACTGCTCTCATCGTCGAAGCGCCTCGCCCGGATTCCCAAGCCGATGATCCGATCCCACTGGTGAGCCCTGGCTGAGGCAACCCTGTGGGAAAATCCTCAGCCGAAGGTCGCAGGCCAGAGACCATCATCACCGGTCCTGAGGCCGGGGAGCTATGTATATGTACTGGCCGATGTGGCAGCTGAATATGTATGTGATATGATGATGTCGTCGGTGCGAGTGGCAATCCTTGCAAAAATTTTGAATTTCTGCTTCTTTGGTAGCGAAGGCGCTAAGTCCCCCGCTCTCCCAGTCCCCCACTCCTTGAGGCGAGTGTAACGAGGTGAAGAGGAGTAGAGTAATGCATGCCTGATGATGTCTGCAACAGGGGGCCGAGGGTTGACACCTTTTGATCCATAATGGGGAGATGCCTCGTTAAAAACCTCATTAGGAAAAACCCTGTGGGAAAAAATCCTAATGAGGGAAAAAGAGTACATCGGATGCCCCCAGAACGAAACAAAAGGTGCGAGCCCTTCGGCCTAGAGGTGGAGCTACAGCGGTGTCCGTCTGCCGAGGGGATGGCAGAGGCCGATCCATAGATGTGGGTAGCTCGTCATGATCAGTAGTCCTAGTCATCAAATAAAGATGACTAAGGGATGGGTCGAGCGACCGTCCATAATATGATGCCTGGTTCATCAAATAAAGATGACCAGAATATGAGGCCGACGGGCCGAAGTGAGCTCCACGTCATCAAATAAAGATGACTGGGAGTAGTGGCCGAGAGGCATATATGAGAGCTCCACGTCGTCAAATAAAGACGAAGGGGCGATGTGTGGCCGAGGGGCCTGGATAAGAGCTCCACATCGTCAAATAAAGACGACGGGGCGATGTATGGCCGAGGGGCCTGGATAAGAGCTCCACATCGTCAAATAAAGACGACGGGGCGATGTATGGCCGAGGGGCCTGCATAAGAGCTCCACGTCGTCAAGTAAAGACGACGGGGCGAGATATGGCTCAGAGGCCTATAGATGAGTTCCTCGTCATCAAATAAAGATGACAGAACGATATGTGGCCGATGGGCCTGTAGATGAGCTCTTCGTCACCAAACAAAGATGACAGAATAATATATGGCCGATGGGCCTGTAGATGAGCTCTTCGTCATCAAATAAAGATGACAGAGCGGTATATGGCCGATGGGCCTGTAGATGAGCTCTTCGTCATCAAATAAAGATGACAGAGCGGTATATGGCCGAGGGGCCTATAGATGAGCTCGTTATCAAATAAAGATGACGGAGCAAGATATATGGCCGATGGGCCTGTATGAGAGCCCTCGTCATCAAATAAAGATGCTAGAGCAAGATGTGGCCGAGGGGCCTATAGATGAGATTTGAGATCCTTTAGTCTCTGAGCCGGAGACCGCAAGATGTTTGCTAGATCCGAACATGAGGACGAGGCGTTGGACGCCGGTCTGAATGTGAGGACGAGGCGTTGGACGCCTGTCTGAATATATGCGGACGAGGCGTTGGACGCCTGTCTGAATATGAGGACGAGGCGTTGGACGCCTGTCTGAATATGAGGACGAGGCGTTGGACGCCTGTCTGAACATGAGGACGGGGCGTGGGACGCCTGTCTGATGATACGATGACGAGGCAATGCTGAGCCGATCATCATATATAGGCGACGGTCGCCATCCAGGAGGGGATGGCGAGCCCGATCGCTAACCCAAGACATTCGGCAATGAGAGGCCGGTCTCGGAGATAGGACATCACATCGTGGCCTAGGGGCCGATCGTGATGTGAGGACGGCCGTGATAAGGAGCCGATCCAAAATAACAATGACGAGGCGATGATAAGCCGGTCGCCATGTAGGGACGATAGTCACCATCCAGGAAGGGATGGCGAGCCTGATCGCTAGCTCAACACACTCGGCGCTGATGAAGCCGGTGTTGAGATAGATCATCACGCCGAGGCCGGGGCGGCGGTCGTGACATGAGGATGGCGATAATGGGTAGCCGATCCGAATAATGACGACGAGGCAGAGATGAGCCGGTCGTCATGTAGAGGCGACGGTCACCATCCAGGAAGGGATGGGGAGCCCGATCGCTAGCTCAACACACTTGGCGCTGACAAAGCCGGTGTTGAGATAGGGCATCACGTCGAGGCCGGGGGGGCCGATCGTGATGCGAGGTCGTCAGCACTATGAGGCCGAGCCAAACGTCCAAGCAACGGTCGCCATCCGATGAAGGAATAACTGAGACCGGTCTTGGGGAATATGATCACGTCAAGGCCGAGGGCCTGCCATGATCGGCACTGAGGGGCCGACCCAAAAATCCATGCAATGGTCGCCACCTAGTAAAGGAATGGCTAAGACCAGTCTTGATATAAGGTACCGCGCCTTGGCCGAGAGGCCGGCCGCGATGCGAGGATGACGACTATGATAAGCCGGTCCAATGTATGATGACGAGGCAATGATAGGCCAATCGCCATGTAGAGGCGACAGTTGCTATCCCGGAAGGGAATAGCAAGCCCAATCGCTAGATCAAGACACTCGGCGCTGAGGGAGCCGGTCTTGAGATAAAGCATTACGTCGTGGCCGAAGGGCCCGATCGTGATGTGAGGACGAAGATGCTGAGGAGCATGTCCGAGATATGATGACGAGGCAATGATAAGGCCGATCGTCATGTAGAGGCAACGGTCACCATCCAGGAAGGGACGGCGAGCCCGATTGCCAACTCAAGACGCTTGGCGATGAGAAGCCGGTCTTGAGAAGGAATAATCACACCAAGGCTGGGAGGCCGGTCGTGATGTGCGGATGGCGATGATGATGAGCCGATCCGAATAATGATGATGACGAGGCGGAGATGAGCCGATCGTCATGTAGAGGCGACGGTTGCTATCCCGGAAGGGAATAGCAAGCCCAGTCGCTAGCTCAAGACACTTGGCGCTAAGGGAGCCGGTCTTGAGTTAGATCATCACGTCGAGGCCGGGGGGCCGATCGTGATGTGCGGATGGCGATGATGATGAGCCGATCCGAAGATCCAAGCAACGGTCGCCATCCGGGAAGGGATGACTAAGACCGGTCTTGAGATAAGGTATCACGCCTTAGCCGAGAGGCCGGACGCGATGTAAGGACGACGGCGATAATGAGCCGGTCCAACATATGATGACGAGGCGATGTGAAGGCCGATCGTCATATAGAGGCAACGGTCGCCATCCAGGAAGGGACGGCGAGCCCGATTGCCAACTCAAGACACTTGGCAATGAGAAGCCGGTCTTGAGGAGAAATAATCATGCCAAGGCTGGGAGGCCGGTCGTGATGTGCGGATGGCGATGAGGAGCCGATCCGGATAATGATGACGAGGCGATGATGAAGCCGATCGTCATATAGAGGCAACGGTCACCATCCAGGAAGGGACGGCGAGCCCGATTGCCAACTCAAGACACTTGGCAATGAGAAGCCGGTCTTGAGGAGAAATAATCACGCCAAGGCTGGGAGGCCGGTCGTGATGTGCGGATGGCGATGAGGAGCCGATCCGGATAATGATGACGAGGCGATGATGAAGCCGATCGTCATGTAGAAGCGACAGTCGCCATCCATGAGGGGAATGGCGAGCCCGGTCGCTAGCTCAAGACACTTGGCGCTAGGGAGGCCGGTCTTGAGATAAAGCATCACGCCGAGGCCGGGGGGCCCGGTGGTGATGAGTGGATGGCGATGATGATGAGCCGATCCGGATAATGATGACGAGGCGATGATGAAGCCGATCGTCATATAGAGGCGACGGTTGCTATCCCGGAAGGGAATAGCTAGCTCGGTTGCTAGCTCAAGACACTTGGCACTGGGGAGGCCGGTCTTGAGATAAAGCATCAC